CTGGGGAGCCTGTCCTGAGGGCTGGCACCCCGCTATGTCCCTAGAGAGTGCGGGGCAGGGCCAGGGGAGCAGGGACCCATCCGCCCCCCTCGGCGGCCCTGGGGAGAGAGGTGCTGCTGCGGCACGGGGTGCGGCAATAAGTGCCCTTCCCAGTCCCATACCCGAGCTCAAGCTTTGCGCAGAGTGACTCAAAACGTTTTTCTAGCTCAGAGAAGTGGCTGTAGTAGTGATAGATTGAGCTACTTACACTAAAAAAGGACCGATGTGAGTTTTTAGTCTTAGTTAAAAGTTAAATTTCACTACCTGCAGAAGTAACCTTCTTAAATATCTCCTGTACCTAGCCAAAAGGTTAGTTCTTTAAAGAAAGGTGGTTGAATTGAAATATGGCACAGAGTAAGCAAGTAAAAGGATCAAATTTGCTTGACAGTAAGCCTGTACAGAAAAAGCCTTACAGAAAGCCTGTAACAAGTCAGATAACTCCTAAGAAGCAGCAGAGAGTAACTGCAAACTTGGCTCATTCAGAAACTAACTCATCTGTGCTATCCCACACAGAGAAGTGGAGAGGGATCTTGGGCATCTCCACTGCTCACACAAATCACCTCCTAAGAGGACAGGAAGCCCCAGAACCTTGGACAACAGACTGCGCTAGGCACTCCCAAAATGAAAGGCCTTATTTAAAGGGGCTCCCTGTTTAAGGCACACAAGTGAGCTGTGAGCACATAGATGCTAAGTTGCTCCTTAAGAGCAGCTGTGTGTAGCAGAAAACAGGATTCCTTCCCTCAAAATTACCTGGTATTCTGAAACACAGGAATTCCAACATCCTGTTTCACTAAGATTTACCAGGCACAATATCAAGTCTAGGAAATATGTCAGAAATAGTATTTTACCACAGTTTAGTTACTGTATTATGAATTATTTACTTTGTAATGCTAAGCTAATGTTAAAAAAAATCTAAATAGAAGATTTTTCTTCAGATACCGTCCAAGAGTGGACTACATCTCAACTAGAGCAGCCTTAGAGAGCTGGCCAGATCAGTATACGTAGTCCATTCAAAGTCGAGTTAACTGGTAATGTCTGCATTTACTATCCAGTCTGCTAAAGCATCCTTGCGCATCAGGGAACAGAGGAAACACGGGTGACTTTCTGAAAGAAGCAGACCTGCTCTCTGTGAACAACAAATATTTATATAGCTGGCATTTTGATTTATCACTCTTAACAAGGTCTTAATCTTAGAGACTGACTGACTGACCTATGCCAAACTTTGCAACAAAAAGGTAAAAGTAAAGGTACAAGAAGGTGTAATCTAACTTTCTTGGCTTGAAAATTCTGTTTTATCTACTCCCAGTAGAAACACAATACATGCTACAGCAGTTACTTTCAATTTCTCAATCCTAAATTCAATACAAGAACATTAATTAACAAGCAAGCTCAGGAAGTTGCTGCCCATCAAAGCCACCTGCATTCTAAAGCAGAAAATTGTCAAAGATGCTCAGTATACAAAGCAGCACCCCCTGAGGGCTGGACCCAGGCTCCAGACCAAAGCTCTCGAGTTGTGGGTAGGTTTCCATCAATCCCAGCACACCTCCTGCTGAGGTTTCCTCACACAAGCAGCAGCAAGGCTCTGCTGGTCAGCAAGAACATCCATCCATTGGAGGAAGGGTGCAGGGAAGGACGCAGATGTATGTGTACGTCATTTAAGGGTGCAGCTGACAAGTACATCCCCCTTCAGCCACTCCCAGGTCTGAGCAGACACAGATTAAGACACACAACTGTTCAGCCTCACTGCGATGCACGAGTCTTGTCAAGTGTGCCTTATCTGTATAAACCCCTTTGTGAAGGTTTGCCTCTTTCACAATACCTACCTATACAAGCAGCTGTAATTACAATTTTGCAATTTTTGCAAGTTTGTTTTGTCACACCAGTATTCAAGTTTGCCAGCTGGGACTGACAGATAAGGAACTCACTTGCTTTTGGCCAGTATAATCCAGGTTAAAGTATTTATAATCCAAATGTTACGCTGTCATGCCTGACAGGCATAGATCCATGAACTGAAGAAAGGACCCCTGAAAGCAGTTGTAACCTCTACCCTATGCAGCACTATGGAAGAAAAAAAAAACCAAAACCACCTACAGTTATCAATAAAGGAGTCAAAAAAACAGAGTTAACTTTTCTAGAGTCCTAAAATGTTTCCTAATTCTTGAGGACTCTGGGAAATTCAGTGCTGAGGTCTAATCTACTTTTATTTTTCCTCTCAGCCTCCAAAGAGATCAATATTAAATGTCAGTTACTACTTACATTTTAAATGTTTCCCAATGATATTTTTAAATGTTTAAAATTAACTAAACTGAAGCTTTCTCCCTGTTATTAAAAGGATCTTTACTATTCCAAATAGTCTTAAAGCTAAAACCCCCGCACTGGATGCCAGGAGATGTAGGTTTGATTCCCAGCTCAGCAACAGATTTACTCAGTGACCCAGGTCAAGTTAATTCTCCTGCAGCTTAATTCTCCTCTTCTCTGGAACATGGATAATACCCTCTTCCCCCATCACTGCCCTTTCCACTTAAGATACCGAGGCACTTAAAGCACTCAAGAACAAGGCTCTTATTTCAGTTGACACTTTGGTCCTTTCCTTGCATGTCTGATGAGGCAGCATGGCAGAAATTCACAGCAGACTTTCAAATACTGTACAGAAAAATTAAGTTTCTAATTCTCTGTTGATGTACACAAATGCCTATGTTAATTCAACTTTGAGAGGCAAGGGACTAACTCCTTTGGAAGAGAGCCTTTCCATTTCCAAGACTAACCTCATATCCAGAGTTTCCAAGCTTGTTTGTTAAGGAATGACTTCTAAGCAGAATTTACTTATGAACTGCAGCTAAAAGTAATGTCAAGGCAGACACGGTTGCAAATACACCCAATCCAACCATATTTAATTCACAAAACTGCATGAGAACAGCAGTACTAGAATATCCTAGTAGTACGCATGCAAGTCTAGTCTATTTGCTCCTCATACCCATTTGATCTCAGATGGGAAATGTAACAATTAATGCAGACTGGACGATTGCTAGTGCTACTGCAGCTAGAAACAGAACAGGTTCCTCATCTAATTTCTTACAAAATGTGAGAATCAGTCAAAAAAAATATCACAACACATTTCAGTTTCATCTTGGTATTGGTAAGGGAGCACACAGATGCAAGTTCATGTTCTCTTGTACATCTTAATGAAAACATTTATTTCTTTACCTTTTATTTTGAAGTTCTCCCCTCCTGTAAGGTCTTAGAAGGGCTTGCATTAAAATAAGTATTACACAATTCACTTAAGACCCAGAACTCCACTTTACGCATACAGAGGCTGGCTCCCCACAGCTGTGACACTCCCAGAGCCTGCAGCTCGCAGTAACCGTGGTGTGGGCGCTGAGCAGCAGCAACAGCAGGGCCAGCCAGGACACATGTGCACCACCACAGCGTGCTGCACCGCACCAGCGGCTCAGGCACTGCGGCTTCTGACCGACAGCACAAGCCTCACAACCAACACATGGCCTGACTAACAAGTAGCACTGAAACACACATAATATCAAACGCTCAAGTAGACTATTAGACATGAAGCATCTTTTGGCAATGACTGAATTTTGACAGCACTATTTCACTGAACCTGTGAGCAGGACCTGCCAACTCCATTTACTTCTTCACATGCATACGCACTAACCCAACACCGAAAGAGTCGCTAGACTTGGCAGCAGCATCTCCGCAGAGACGGGAAACTGGGACCGTCAAGCGCTTTCCAAGATGCCTGCATGATTGCAAGACAGGAGTGGGAGAGACCTGTTCCCAGCAGCAGAAGTCAGTTAACCTTTGTATTAGCACCAAAGAGCAAACTAAACTTGATATAAAGTTGCCAGAAATTTAACTAAAAGAGAGTAGAATGAAACACATTTTATTCTTATTTCTACATCTGGAACCCTGTTATTTTGTTGCAGAGATGGCAGAGCCCATACAGCAGCTGACCAGGAACAACAGTCCCCAAGAGAGACAGACCATTCCCTTCACGCTGATCCAGCGCAAGGAGAAGGTACCGCTGCTCTTCCCAGCTGAGGCTCTAACAGTCCTTTCAGTGCTCACACCTAGCCTCCAAAAATGTTTCTTTATACAATTAATTTAACCATTTAGGATTTTAAACATTATAAGTGCAAAGCATTGTACCTCAATTACTACGTTTCATTTTTAGCATCTTACCATTTTTAGATTGTGTTTTTCCATTTTGTAAGGTAGAAGCTATCAGGAAAGTCCAAAGGTAGCCAGGAATTACAGTCTTTGTGACATTTTAGGATTCCAACAAAAACCCTCATATTTTGACATTTTAAATGAAATGCCTATTTTCTTCATTTAAATCAATGCATTTGCTTATTTATACAATCATGTTAATAAAACTTGAAAGAGGTTACTATCTGAATATAAACCAAACATACTTTCCTATCATGGGTCATTATTAAACAAAGCAGCAATTCGCAAACCCACCTTATCAAAATTGTCTTATCCTCTAATGAAAAATCAAAACTGATGTCCAGAAAGCTGTTTACAGCTCAGAAAATGTGCAAACAAGTCTCTAACCTTAAATACATGGCAAATCAAGAAAATCTTTGCTTACCATGTATGATTAATTCTTGTCACATTTCTTTAAAATAGATCTATAGAATACAAATTTATAAATAGCACAATTTGATTAAGCGTATTTCATCTTAACAGGTTGACTCCTGACTACTTTTGTTGTAATTAAATGCTTGAAAGTAATTTCTCAGTACTACTGTAATAACTGCTGATAAAAAATAAGGTTATTAAGTATTAATTGCAACTCAGTATTTAATACTGCACGTCTGAAAGACGACAATTCCTTACTTTAAAGGATAACTACCTAGAAGTCTGCATATCGCCTCTTGATTTACACGAGAAAGGATTAAAATTCAAATTAGAGCTGACTTCTTTATGCTACAAGTAAAGCACTGAAATATTGTCTGACTTATTTGTTTGCTTGGGGTTTTTAGGTGATTAACTTTAAATATAAAATTATTGTCTTACTGTGTTTACAGCTTGGAGATCTGCTTTATGAAAAGCGTCAGTATGGAAAAGCCAAATGGGCTTGTATAAAAATGAAAGAAAAACAGTATGAACAGAGCATATGCCTTGGATTCATGAAGCTTATGAGGTACATTTGTGAGCAGAATTCCTCAGGTAATTGGTACCATAATTCTACATTAAAGTTAAAATACTTTATGTATTCACTAGCTCCTCCTAACTGGAAATACTTTTATTAGCTTTATCCAAATACCGCACCTGTCCATAGGGACATTTCCATGTCACGCAACCTTTCCAGCAGAGTCCGCACCAAGTGCTGCTCCCCGTGCACCCACGCTAGAGAAGTGTGGCTGCGGGAAGCCATCCCTGCTCCAAGGGCACTCTGACCGCTGTAGCTGCCAAGGAACGGCACTGGCTATCGCCGCAGGCTGTCGGCGATAAATTGGGCTTTTGCTACAGAGTTTTAGTGCTTTAGGTTTCACGGCAGTACCAAAATCGCCTATTCTAAGAATCTATTCAGACTGTAATGCCAAAAGAGACCATCATGTTTGGTCTCCTTCGTTTGAGTTCATGATACTCAACTTGTGCATGTCTGAATAGACACCAAAAATCCATGGGGTTGAAGTGTATTTTCCAGACAATCCAGTTTTAACTCAAGTACTTTAAACTAATCACAAATCCACCTTGTCCTTGATAGATTGTGCCCGCATGAAAAATGTGCGCTCAGTTTCCAATCCAGTTTAACTTGGTTTCAACTTCCAGCTGTCAGTTCTCATTTTCTCATTCTCCTGGTGATTAAAGTTTCGCAATGCCCAGTGTCTTGGTCTGTAATAGTACCTGTGATGTAATGAAGCCAAACCTTCCTTTTCTTTCCAAGCAACTAAAATCATTGATCATGAAAGCTTTTCCTTAATCAGGTGTTTTCCCCGCTTTCCCCATTCTTTTAACACTTCAACATGGCTTAAATGTAATTCTGGCTCCAGAACAGTGCAGTTTTGTTCCCAAACTGTGTACAGAAGCAAAGTTCCCACTCCTACTCATCCCTGCTGCCTGCACAGTCAGAATCACAACCTTCTCCCATAGCGCTGCACAAATATACCAACATATTTGAGAGCAGCAAACTCTAACTGACCTCCCAACGCAGCCCCTTGTGTAGTCTACAACGTTTGTCCCCAAATACTTAAAAGATGACACAAGATCAGTTTGTGTTGGGGAAAGAAGTTAAATCAAGCTCCTTGCTTTACATGGAGATAAGAGAGCTCACCAATACCACACTTTAGATACTCATGCACACATATTTGCACGTGTAGCTTTTAGAGATATATATACATATATATGTATGTATGTATGTATACACACACAAACTACAAGGAATAATAAAGTGCTGCTTCCTCTTGGAATACAGAACGCCATTTTCTAAAACATCCTACTGAATTCCTTTTAGTAACAAAACTGCTCTGTGGTACTTGCTTTCTATTATTCAGTACTAGTTCAGAAGTCATGCACAGTATGTAGACCTCCTTTTGTATTTTCTAAAAGTCACCTATGTCTCCTCAGGCCTGTACTTGGGGATAACAATACCCATTGTGACCATCGTCCACACAAACGAATCCCAGTCGGAGATAACGCAGGCGGTGACGGTAGCGTACTACCTGCCTGAAGTGCTGCAGGATGAGCCACCACACCCTTTTGACTCGGACATCATCATCGAAGAATGGCCTTCTACTATTGTTTATAGCAGGTAAGAAACATTGCCATTTTGTTCCAGTAAAAATGGTGAAAAGACACACTTTTCAGCTTGGGCATATTACATCTTTTAAATCAAGTTCTAAAAGCTAACAAACAGTAAAACTTCAGGTTGTAGTAACTGTTAAAAGCTGCCTGCTTTATGAGACTGGGATATTCAGGAAATAACAGTTACCAACTGACTTGGGAAAATGATGCATCTGTAAACGTGAGATACGATAGCATCTCAAAACACAGACTATCCTGTGTAGCTGGGAACAAAGTCTGTCATATCACTGAAAGTGTTAAGAAAAAACTTCTTTGTTTAGATCAACCACAGATAGTATCATTTGTGAAACATGACTAAATAACTTAGAAGGAAGCATTATTAGGCTCTGGAAGAAACTGTGGATTTTGGAAAGAATTTGATATGAAGTTGATTGTTACAGGGGCTTCAGAGGAATCACCAATGAAGTCTCTATAATGAGAGAAATAAACCTGCTGGCAGAAATTCTGGAGAGCCCCGAGTTATGTTTGCAGGACACCTTCATCATCGCAGGATACACGAATCCTGCTGCTGCCAATCGCCACAATGAGATATGGTTCCTTCAGAGACCATAGCCTCCCGTTTCTGAGGCTGGTCAGCCACAGGAATCAGTTCTGAATGCAGGTGAATCATGTAAGACTAGATGTCAAGCCCTCAGAGGTTTCAAAAATGTGGCTTTCAGCCTGTTTAGTGAGGCAATCACTCCAACCTAATAATCAGACACACCCGAAGCAGACATTGTTTCCTATGTCAACTTTTACAGTTTGTGCACAATTTTTATGGTATTTTTAGTACTTCAAAAGTTAGTTCACCTTATCATTTTTTTTTTTTTTTTTTTTTACAAGATAAGGGAGACAGACACCTCTCCCCATCCACCTATTAGCATCTCTAGACTGCTTGGGACAGTCCTAGGGGAGACTCTGGTGCCCCTGCCCTGGCCTGCTCTGGGCACCTGGTGCTGCACCAGCTACACAAGGACCCTAGTGGGGCTTTTAGTGGGACACCCCTTAAAACCACCTCACACATGCAAGCTTTCAAAGAAAAAACGTTCAGGTCTTAATTTCTGAAGAGAACTACCAGATTTAGACCACTGAGATTAAACCACGGAGTAAGAGTAGGCAAGCACTGACTGCTTTTAATGTCATCATCTGTGGAGCAGAGATCCTTAATGGTTACCTTAAAAAGCATTCAGCCAAAGTACTTTTAACCTCGAGAAAAGACCAAAGTGGCAGAACGGTCCTACTGCTCATTAAACTTTTGATACCAAGAGTTACAGTTTACCTTAATCACACACTCACAGCAATGCCATGACTGTCTGTGGCACTCCCAAATAAGAAGTGGTTATTCTTTTACACATTTTCATCTTCTAACTTTGAGTGTTAAAACTCTGCAGCTGAAGTAATTTTTTTAGCGTGTTTTACATGCTTCTGGCAGCACCATGCTATTAATGTTGCAAATTATGGAAATATTTCACAAAATCTCAGAGAAAATGTAAGCTCGAGGTAAGCTGGTCCAGCACGCTGCATTGTGGCTGGCAGAGCAGGCTGCTCAGCGCATCACCAGGGATAAGGAGCCCGTAACCCCTCTGGGCCCCGTTCTAGTATTTGACCACCCTCACTGTGAGAATTTTTCTTCCTAATATCTCATTTTCCATGTTGCAGCCTGTTTCTTTCACTCTTCATCCATATGATTATTCTCCAAGTAGACAACTGCTAGCCTAGCAGGCTGTGACAAAGACAAGCTCGCGTAGTTCTGCACAGCACCCACGCGTCACCACGCATCACAGCTACAGAGCACCCACTGCACTTTAGAACTGGGGTAGCAAATGGTTTTGCTCTCAAAAATCCCTGATCCACATCTCCCCTTACAGATATGATGGTAGAGTTTAATAGAAGTAAATGTCTTTTTATATACAATGTCATGAAGTATATCACCAGCATTATTTATTGATTATATTATTTAGGATTTAGGCTTTAAATAGAGCTTTTGTGTTACTCAGTTACAACACATAAAATGGCAACCAGAACCAGTGTCTGCTAGCTTACAGTAGAGTTAATTGGCAAACAAAGTGGATTTATGTAATATTTCTGAATAAACGTACAGGTCTCAAGAAATTTAGGCCTCCTGCTTCCACAAGGCTCTCTGCTGCACAAAACTGACTTCACACTTAACCTAAAACCTCCTGCTGAGCAGTGGGATCAGAGCACGGCTGGCCCTGCTGACCGTGCTGTAGCATGACCATGGTGCTCTCTGGTGGCTGCTGCCTGTGAGAGTCCTCAGGGAGACAGCAAGGAGAAGGAGAAAAAAAAATAGAGGGAGTGAAAACCCTTCATTTTAACACAAACAAACTGATAGTCTTCGTGGGGAGAAAACCAACCAACCAACCAAGAAAAGCAACCCTCACTTTCTTCTTCTGAATGTCTGGTGTCCCTAGCTTTTGAGATACCCTGCACCAGTCCAGCACAGACGTTTGTATTGCCACAAATTAACCAGATGTTAAGCTGATGGGAGAGAATATAAAAAAAAATACTGTTTTTTTTGATCTTTCTTATTCCAACCAGAAAGCTATCAAATCTGATTTGTCAGGTGACAGCACAAATGCTTGTGCCAGTTGAGGCCATGACGAGGAACCACTTTGTCTGACGTGCCATTTTAAATGCACATCTAAGTATTTCTTACTTAACAGAATAAGATAATGAAGGTACCTGTCATGTCTCTTATTCCACTCAATTTATTCAAGAAACAGGATCACAGCTAGGGAAAAAACCAGACTTCACGTTCAATATGTTGAATTGTTTCCTGTTTGATTTTTATTTATTGTGCTTTTTAATTTTTTTAACATTTCTTCAGATAGTTGGAAATGCCACTCAGTGTTAAACTGAAAATTAAAATATTAATGGAAAATAGTAAAGTTTTTAAAAACTGAGAGCCCAGGGAGACATTAAATAACAGGTTTTGTTTTGCCCTCACCCTGCGACCCCAGAGATTCTTATGAGAGCAAAGAAAAACAATTTTCACCTTAGACAAGGTTTTATGGCAAATTAAAAAAGTTTCTGCAATTTGATTGCTTTTGCCAGTTACAGAAATTATGTTAACGCTTTGGCACAACAGATGTCAAGTAGCTATTGGCAGTAGTTAAATACTCCCACCATAAAGTACCAGTCTGTACATACTTTACATTTTAAACATCTATCACAAAAACATTGCTATATCTTATGTCTCTTTCCATAGGCAATCCTCACCTAAATAATTCTGTGGCTTGTGGGTATGTTATAGAAACATTCTTGTTACTGAAATACAGAAATAAGGTATTATCTGAATGTGCTGATATCCTCACCGCAGCAAAGCGCTCAGTGTTGTTTTATGTAAAACTGTGAATTCCAAAATAGTATTTATTATGACTTCTGTTAGATAGCTTCTGCTGCTGAGAAAGAACCAATTAATCTCGCGTTTGAAGACACGCTTTATGGCTATGGAACATTGCACCAACTTCTGTGAACGGCCTTCACAAGCGCAGGCATGAACAATTGCATTTTTTTACCAACACAAAATAAAGTTTACTTCAGAGTTACACTAGTGAATGCCAGGAAGTGTTACCATTACTGAAATGATTTTAGACAGCCTGAAAAACATCATGTCAAGCGTGATTACCCAACTCCTTTCATCAAAAAAGGTATTTTATTATTCATCAGTGGCTCTACTTTGTAAGCTATTAAGGAATGGGTTTTCATTTTTAACTGGAGTTTATTAGAATTCCACTCTTCAAAGTAGAAAATAAAACAGAATACGCCCATATTTTTGGAAGATAAAATGATGTAGCCTTAACAGATAAATGTTGTCCTGCATACTGTGTATTTTTCAAACAAGCATTAGTGCCTAAAAAGTTTATTCCAGCTATTGTGATACTCAGGGCCTTGCTTATTGTATGTATACAACTATAAAGATCATTTTTCCAGCATTGTTGCTCTGTGCTGTTTTAGACTGTCCTTCATTTTCACTGAGATGTTGTCTTGTTTACTGTTATTGTTTGTCAAAATTAAAGATAACTATTTTATTGTGCAGAATACACCTGGCTTTCATATCTGTAACAGACGAAAGTCCTTTTGCTGTCTCTCCTTTGAACGAGAACAGGTATCACAAGTTCTGATTTTACAAAAGACATTTAAGCTTCAAATTTGAAATGATTGCTCTAAGACCCAAAAACCTTAAATAACTTTCACAACCCCTCCACTCTTTGAAATAACATGTACATTTGGAGCTATGCACCTATGTGCTGCAGCCAGCAGATCTGCCAGCAAACCCACTGCAGGAGCCCCCTGCAGCCCCCTTTTTGTCAAGCCCCAGCACTGTCTCCCACAGCACAGACTGGGGAGGACTGGTTTCACAGCAGTACTTAAAGGGTGAATGGGAGTTTTCTCCTAAATGCTGGTGCCATCAGAACACACTTCACAACTGATCCGTTTGGCAGGGGATTGTGCTGCAGAAAACTGCACAACTACAGAGGCAGCTCTACAGGGGTACAAAAGCCACTTTGCAAAGCGCTGAGGTCTCCAAGACCAAGGCTTGGCTTGCCCATGCATGCTGGAACAGGCTGGGGCACCGGGGGGGGAACCGTCCTTTCCTTGTTACAGTGGGTACAAGTGAAACAGTAGCAATACAAATGCAAATACCAGATCAAAGAGGAAACAGAAACCACTGAAGCCACAGTGACATTAGCCAAGGTTTGTCTACACTCCTCAATTACACCAGATTAGCCAAACCTACTGCTTATTTCAGCTTAAATCTCATATTAAATCCCTGCACTCAAAAACAAGCATTCAGAGGCACCTGTAGTGATGCAGAACTACCTTTAAAGTTCTTGCTAGCTTATCAGTGGACTTCCCTCATTTAAGTACACTCAGGTTGATGCTTTGAAAACAGCTCATCTAAGAAAGCTAATTCAATCGAGAAAATGAATGAGCATATTTGCCTTCCAATAATCTCCACACACACTACAGCAAAATCATTAGACTTTAAACAAAAACATATTCTAAGGCCAACAGTCCTTAACTACCTGAATCCTAACTTTATGTCTCTTACCAAAATAACTCCTACATTTTGAAGTTTTCTAAGTGGCACCTTATGTAATACTGTTTATCTACTAGTACCTTACTGAGAAGGCACAGACCATTAAGCCATCATTGACTGGCTAACAGTCCTGGCCCCTGCTAATTGGTCCTATAGTTGGACATTACCTACTGGTAAAAAAGAACAGAAAAAAGCTCTCAAGAGGAAAAAAAACCCCAAACAACAAAAAAACAAACCCCCCAAAAAACAGCCAAACAAAAAAATTAAGGAGACCTAAGTAGATTTAAAGATGACTCAAAGCCCTACAGAATAGTCTTAATCAGAGAAAATGTTTCAGTCAATATATGGTTTTCATGAGGCTGGCAATAACCTGGACAACCCAAGCATGGCCATTCTCATCATCTTAGCACTACTAAACTCAGGCAAATTAAGAAGCCCCCAGTTTAGGTCTCATGTCAATTTTGCAAGGACTCCTCAAAAAGGATGAGAAAACTACTTCAATTGTAGG